GGAGTGAGGAGGAGGGACTGAACTAAGAAAACATATTTGGGAAACAGAATTGACAGGTCTTCATGATCAATTTCATCTAAGGGTGAGAGAGAGGGAGGTATCCATGAAACGTTCTAGTTTTCTGACTTAGACTGTTGGTGGGTGGTGATGACATTCATTTGACAGAGAAGAGATGGGCAGAACTGTGGGGGTAGAGGTTTAGTTTGAGGTACTCAGGAAAGTTCAGTTGGAAATTCAGATGTGAAGCTCCAGAGAGTTCTGGGGTGGATGTGAAGAGGTGAGAGTCATAGAAATACTGGTTCGGTGGAAGTCAGAGGTTTGAATGAGGTGATTCAGAGCGAGTAGGGTGAGAAGGAAGTGAGCAGAGACTGAGCCTTGGAAATCAATATGTGAGAGATCAACAGAGGAAGGATTAACTAAGAAGGAAGAAATGAAGCAGTAGAAGGGAAACCAGGGGCGCGTTGGTGGCTCAATTGGTTAAATGCCTGACTGTTGATCTCAGCTCAGGTCTTGATTTCAGGATCTTGGGTTCAAGTCCCATATTGGGCTCCACACTGGGCATGGAGCATACTTAGAAGAGGAAGAGGAAAAGGAAGAAGGAGAAGAAGGAGAAGGGAAACCAAAAAAAGGATATCAGGAAGCCAAGATGGGATAGGGAAAAAATATGATTAGATCAACAGCAAGTTCTAGAAAATCAGAAAAAAATGAGGAATGGTAAGTAGCCACTGTATATAAGAATGTGAATGGAATTGCTAGCCTTGGGGGAAAGTTCTAGTAGAGGGGTGGAGAGGGGCAAAGTTAGTTGAAAGTTAAGGTAAGCCAGACTGTGGTTAGTTGAATGAGAGGCAAATGTGAATAGTGGACACCTATTACTCTTGCAAGTAGTTCAGCTTTGAAAAGAGAGCAAGAGAACTATAGGGCAGTAGCTCAAGGGGCTGGGGTCCTCAGAGAAGCTGTTTCCTTAAAGGTGGATGGCACTTCAGGAGAGGGGTAGAGCACACTTAATGTGCTAGAGAGAAGCCAGAGGGAGGTGGGGGGAAGGTGTCATCACAGGGGATTGAGCAACGCTACTGAGCAGACAGGAGGAGATGTGATACAGGTGAGGCCCATGATAACAGGCCCAGCAATGTTTTCTGACTCTAGTAGCTTCCCCATCATTTGACAAATATCCTTAAAACAGAACTGTTAAGATAGATTCAGTAAATTAGATAGAGAACTCTTGTTACATATTTTTGTATTCTCTACCATAGCATGCTAGATGGGGCAGATATGCCTATGATTCTTAAAATGTATTAAATCATTCCTCTGATCCAGACTCAACAACATTCTGTTGCTGACAGGGAATGAATGTAGAAACCCATTCAAGTCCTTTAGCATCTAGCTAACGTCACAGGCTGCTCCTTTTTCCACTGTGGCTGTCCTCTCTGGTCAGGATGCTGTGTTGACTTGCCCACAAATGTGCCTGGCTCATCCCGCTTCCTTTGCCCTGCTCCCACCCTATCACAATATTATCCCCCTCTGTATATATAGGGAGACTGAGAATACAATCCCAACCTATCCTAGCCTACAGGACCCTTAGGAATGTGCCATCTGCCCATCTCTCCAATTGGATTTGAAACCACTCTCCCCCATGCCTTCTTTGCTCCTCCAACGGGATAGTATTTTCCTGCCCTCAGACATTCGCCCTGAGTCTGCTGCCTGGGATGCTCTTTCTTTGGCATTTTTTTGTGGCTGGCTCCTTCTCAACCTTCAGGTCTCAGCCTGAATGTCGCTTCATCTCATGTGATGAAAGTCGATCTATGCAGAGTACATCTCGCACCCCATTATGAGCGATCATAATACATTTTTTATTTCCTTCAAAGCACTGAGAACTCTCTCTGCTTATTTTGTTTATTGTCCTTCCCTCCTTCCCCCAACAGAATGGAAGCCCCATGAGGGCTCTTCCCAGTCTGTCCTATCCCCTTCTTGCCCCCAGTGTCCAGTGTAGTGCTTGACAAGTGGTTTATGAGTGTGTTTCATTAATAAACGAACAGCTCCTCCACGCTCTCAAACCCCAGCTTAAATCCCACCTACTTAGTTAATAATAATAATAATAATAATAGCTGATATATATTGAGTGCTTCCTTTGTGCCAGCGGTCACATATGTTATCTTACTTAATGAGTCCCCTCCCCCATTGACCTCCTGTAACTCATACAGTACTTATGAACCAGGACACACATTCTGTGTTTACTTGAAATTTAGACTCCTGCTTTGTTATTTGATATATTATATGCATCACTCTTTTTGCTCCAGTGAAGTGAAAATTGTTAGTGCTCCCCCATAGCACTCAGAATGTTCAAGGTATGCTGAGTGACTAAAGATATTCCCCCCAGGTTATAAGATTCACATAATAAAAGTGTTGATAAGGCGGACGCCTGGGTGGCTCATCTGCCTTCAGCTCAGTTCCACATCTGGCTCCTTGCTCAGCTGGGAGCCTGCTTCTCCCTCTGCTTGCTGTTCCCCCTGCTAGTGCTTTCTCTCTCTCTCTGTGTCAAATAAAAAAATAAAATCTTTTTAAGAATTTAAAAAATGTTGGGCGCCTGGGTGGCTCAGTGGGTTGAAGCCTCTGCCTTTGGCTCAGGTCATGATCCCAGGGTCTTGGGATGGAGCCCCGCATTGGGCTCTCTGCTCAGCAGGGAGCCTGCTTCCTCCCTCTCTCTCTGCTTACCTCTCTGCCTCCTTGTGATCTCTGTGTCAAATAAATAAATAAAATCTTTAAAAAAATTTTTTTAGATGTTGATAAGTTATGTTTATTCTAAACTTCAGACAGACAGAAAATCGAACCCAATATACAAGGGGTCAAACGCCATTCAACCAGTAAAATGTCAAAATGGTCAAGGCTAGATAGTTTGAGGTTTGAGGTAGGAGATATGCAGTTCGAACCCCTCCATTTCCAGAAGAATTTGCAAAAATCTTAACTTTCTAGAAGAAAAATTGTCCAGCCTGGCAAAAGTGCTTGCAAAACCCAGCATTATCTCACACAAAGAAGCGCTGAGGCAGGTTCCTTAAGAAAGTCTCCCAGCATGAAGCATTGGGTTTTGAAATGTCTGCTTTGCTGTGTCATGCAGTCCCAAGCTGAAGTGCCCTCCGGTGTGCATGATCTCAGGAATCCCTTTGCACATGCGGTGGATAGGAGAACCTGGAGTCTATCCTGATGAAGATGGCGGGAGGAAGATCCTCCCAAACTCCTCTAGATTCTTCTGCAGTCTGGAAATTCTGTCCCACATCTCACCGTGGGTTTCAGCTGTAAACTGCTAGTTCAAGTTTTGAGCTCAGATCAAAGGAAACATCCCTGTTCCCCAAGGAATCCACCCTTCATCGTAAAGATGACTTCAGAGGCAATCTACTCTGCTTACCCCCATATGGGGATGGTCCTCCCCAAGGCTCTTAGTAAGCTTGGAGTCCCCAAGGGCTCTTATCGCTAGCGCTCTACCCCTGGGTGAACCACAGGAGTCACTCCTGAAGTCTCAGGCTCTGAGGATGCACAGTAGTGATTTCCTTCTTGGGTTCCACCCTGGAGCAGATGTGTACAATCAGGAAAATGTCACCCGACCTGTCTCTCCTCATCTGATAGGTCAGCCAGAAGCACCAATTCTTCTGGGTGTCCTACTGGATATGCTTTCTTGAAGAGAGATCCCTTCTATTAAAAAAGGTGTCTTCTCTTAATTGTATTTTAAGCTCCATAGAAACAACTGTTCATTGCAATAAAATATGGGCAATGCTGTACTTTGCCAAGGATTCTGTTTTTCACCTTCTTCAGTGGTCAGGGATATAATTAAATGCCAGCATTCCGATGATACACATTTTCCATCCCAGCTGCTTGAAGTTCCTTCTCTGCTAAATAGTTTAGTAATTATCTCTTTGACCACTACCTGCCTCCCCCAGGGAACGGCCTGCCAGGACGACCTCTACTCCTCCTTCCATTTTAGAGTCTCTATAAATTAGGAAGAACTCTTGTCATCTTGAGTAATGTCATGATGTAGCTTATTTATTTATTTATGGGAGTGGAATGTGGCTATCTTTTCTCACTTTAACTTAGGACCACTGGGGACAAGCAACCTCAAGGTAGCCATGATTTACCAGAATGTCAGTTTTTAAAAATCTTTATATGCACAACATCCCAGAGTGTAAATGGAATAAGAGGAAAGAAGACAAAATTTATTGTCATAATTGTGTGGGGCTAGCTTTGGGAGAACCAAGTGCTCACATTCATTCAAGAGCTCACATTTGGATACTGACATGATCTCCAAGTGAGACTGTAGAATCCCAATGTGTGTGTGTGTGTGTGTGTGTGTGTGTGTTAGCAGATCACTCACCAAGTGTAAATAAACATTTAAAATATGCCACAGGGCAATCCTGCTCTTGGTGTTGCGTTTTTTTATTTGTTTATTTAATATATCAGGAACCAACTCCCCCTTACTCCCACCTCCACCCACGCAAGAGCCGGTCCCAGGCTCCTGGGGGGCCTGACTCAGCATCCTACCACCAGCGGGGGACCGGGTGAAAGGGAGACTTGGAGGATGGGGTTTGGGCAGCAGGAATTGCAGAGTCAGGTCCCAGGCCTCAGAGATTCGGGCTCGGTGCTCCAGCGGAAGCCCATGAAGGACGGATGGAGGGACCAGAGGACTGCTTGGACCCCGCAAACGCAGACAGCCGGGCCGCCACCTGCCGGCGAGCTGGGGGCGGGGCCTCGCCGGGCTGGGGCGGAGCGGCGGGCGCGACGGGGCGGAGCCGTGGCGAGGCGCGGGCCGCAGGAGGGCAGGCCCCGGCCGGGAGAGGTGGGTCGGTGGCCGGCCGGGAGCGGTTCCCGCGGCGACTCGGGAGGTGCCCTGGGCCCCCGCGCGCTAGCGCCGGGCGGGGCCGAGGCGCCCGCGGCCTCGGAGCTCCCGGAAGGGCCGGGCCTGCGCGCTCCTGGGGGCCGGGGGCTGGTGGCGGGAGCGCGGCGGGAGCGCGGCGGGAGGGGCTTCGAGCGGGTCTGCTAGTCGTTTCCGTTTTCCTCCTAGTCTGAGGCTCGTTCCCAGACCGGAAGGTGCCAGGGCCGAGCGACGCACAGTCCCACCCACTCGGACCCCCTTGTGTTTGGCCACGCGGGCCCCCATTCCTCCCTAGACCTCGCCCATCCAAGCGGTTTCAGGTTACGCCTGTATGGACACAGCTCCCCAAGGTGAAAAGTTAGCCTTTAGCCGTTTTGAAGTTCGTACCTGGGGGGAAGGAGAAACACTCCCGTGGGGGCAGAGGAGATGCCAGAGGGAGAGCCGTAGGGAACGCACAGGCCCTCACCCAAGGAGTGCTTTTTTGCTCTAGGCCCGTGGCGCGAATTTGCCAGGCCCTGGACCCCTGCTTGTATCCCTCCCGGAGTTCGGCATAGCCACCTGCGAGCGGCTTCGGGGCCATGCCGATTTCACCCTTTAAAAGCATTGCATCCTGATTTTGTGTGTGTGTGTGTGTGTGTGTGTCTCACATTTAGATCCTCCACTCAGTGACGCAGAGCCTTTCAGGGTTGGCTGCGAGCCAAACCCCGGCTTCCCGATGCAGCCCGAATCCAGCCAGTATGAAGAAGAGACCCCTTCCCTCTTGTGGGGCTTGGATCCAGTGTTTGTAGCCTTTGCAAAACTCTACATCGGGGATATCCTGGACTTAAAGGAGTCCCGCCAGGTACCAGGTATGTGGCTGGTGGGCCTGGAGGATGCCAAGGGCTGCACCTGCACCTCACCCTTCTTTCTCCAAAGCTGCAGGAAGCTGGGGCTTAGTGGCTTTCAGGAGAACCTTCCTGCTGCAGGCTCTGAAGATGACCTAGCGTGGACTCTCAAATGAATACTTTTCTGTGCAAGTTACAGAATCTAAGTCTTATTTTTATTTTTTAAAATAAATGCGTGAGGAAGTAACCTTTGTACCCTGGAATGTTTGGGGTTTTTTGGTTTTTTTGTTTTGTTGGTTTTGGTCTGGCTTTGAGGTCTTTAATATTTTAACATGCTCAGTGTTTTTCTCTGGGACAGCTGTTGGTGGAAAGCTTCAGCGGACCAGACATCTCCAGGCCTGTTCCCTGGCCTGGACATGTGACTCACCTGCAAAGCTTAGGTGTCTTCTTTGTAAAAAATGGAGATTAACCAGGCCTGATTTTCTTGTGGGGTTTTGTTTTGTTTTCAACTACTCAGAACCAAGTAATATAAACTCCCTGAGAGGAAATACATTATCTGTCTTATTCATCTACATAACTTCAGTGCTTAGAACTGTGCCTGGCATGTGGTGGGCCCTCAGAAAGTAATTGGAGCAACAAAGTATTATAAATGTAAAGTTAAAGAAATCATTTTTTTTCTTTTAAAGGTGGTTACTAAAGATAGGTTCTTCATGCCTAGAAACATAACAAATATAATTTGGGGTAGATTTAAGTAATTCACATAGCTGTGTGTGGATCTTCACATGTTTATGGTGCTAGGTGGAAAGTTTGGTTCAACTCTTTGCTGTTTTTAAGTGAAAAGCAAGCTGTGAGTCAGAAGTAGTCAAGAAGCTCAAGTATTTGAATCAAGTCAAGCTACTTGACTATCAAGTAGTCAAGAAGCTCACGGTTTTAATGAGAGGATGTTTTGTGTGTTTCCAGTTCTATGTACAAATATATTTGGAGGACCTTATTCTAAAGCCTTGTGTGCAAAACACCTTGGTTTCCTAATTATTGTTGGAAATGATCTATGTTTGGTTTTTTGTGTTTTTTCTTGGAAGGCAGCCATCCTCCCCCACAGTTGTCCATTTTCCAGAACAGGCTGGTATTCTTCATAGCTCATCTCAGGAAGAAAGTAATTCACACCAAATGCCAGCTTTGCATTTGAAAGAAAGTTCTTATAGAGTGGCTCAAGGAAATGTCTGGGCATGATAGGGGCTTAACTCTTTCTGCGGGCAAAGGACCTCATGATGTATTAACAGCCAACCAAGGAAAACGGATCCTGATGGTCTTTGCTAGGTCACTGGTAAAGCTATTTTAGATGTGATTTTGTTGCCAGGTGGACTGGGGAGACTCCTGACCCCGAGGCCTCCGTCCATCCTTTCCCAGAGATGTTGCCAGAAGCTCTTGGTCCCATTGCAAGAGAGAATTCAAGGAGAGACCCGAGGCAAGGGTTGAACGGTGCAAATCGGAAAGTTTATTAAAGTGAGAGTACACTCTCGACACAGAGGGAGGCAAACCATAAGAGACTCAACTTTAGGAATCAAACTGAAGGTTGCTGGAGGGGAGGTGGAGTGGAGGGATGGGGTAACTGGGTGATGGGCATTAAGGAGGGCATGTGATGTGATGAGCCCTGGGTGTTGTATGCAATGAATCATTGAACTCTACTTCTGAAACTAATAATATACTATATGCTAATAAATTAAATTTAAAGAAAATTAAAAAAAAATAAAGTGAATGCAGGCGAGCTCAAGGGAGAGCTGCATCCCAGGTTTTGGGTTCCTGTCTTTTACTGACAGGTGTTAATTAGGGGTTGGAATATTTATTACTTGGGGAGGCATTTTTTTGAGGAGCGGGGCTTTGTGTCTTTTCCCCCTTACTTGATCCAGGTTTTTGGCTCTCTTTGTCTTGAGACTGTCTGATTTGATCCAGCTTCTTATGGCTTTGTTTTTGGAGTGCTGCAGGGACAGGTCTCTGACTTCCCCCATAGCTAGCCATGACTCCCCCTTTGTTGGCCTCCAGGCATCCTATAAAAACCTAACTGCTGACTGTAACAGTTTTTAAAATGAAACATCATGCTTGAAGCAGGCACCAACCATAATTGCAAGAGAGTGATCTTGAGATTATACTGTAGGGCTCAAGGGGTGGGAAATGCCCCTAGTCTGGGTTTTTCTTTCTGTGTTGTTTTCATTGTTGTTTCTGGTTTGGTTTGAGGAGAGGGGTTGTCCATGCCGACCCCTGGGGAAAGGAGCGGGCTAGAGATTGAGTTGTCATGTTGCCAACGATTCAGTCATGCCTGCAAAATGAAACCCGAATAAAAACTCTGGACACCGAGGCTCAGGTGAATTTTCCTGGTTGGCAATCGTGCATTGATTTGTCAGGAGGGTGATCTGTTCTGTGGGTGTGGAAGCTTTGCGCTTGGACTCTTCCAGACCTTGTCCGATGGATCTCTTTAGTGAGTGAGCCCTGGTTTGTACCCTTCATTATAAAACTATAGTCATAAGTCTAGTACCTTCCTGAGTTGTGTCCCATTCTAACAAAACACCAAAGCTGAGAGAGTTGTAGGCCCCCTGAAGTTGTAGCCAGTTGGTCAGAAGTGTGGGTGGCTTGAGAACACCCCGATTCAGGGCTGGTGAGTGAAGAAAGCAATTTTGTGGTAGACTGTGCCCTTGACTTGAAATTTGACCTGACTTTGTATTTGCCATCCATCAGAATTGCCTTGAAAAATGGTTGCAGAATGTCTACTTCTCTAAATTAATCTGCAAATTTAAACTAATAAAAAATATTATGAAAAAATAGTATCAAGTTTGTGGTGGTGGTGGTGGTATTTATAGGTTTGGGGGTCTTTTTTTTTTTTTAAGATTTTATTCATTTATTTGACAGAGAGAGACAGCGAGAGGGGGAACACAAGCAGGGGAAGTAGGAGAAGGAGAAGCAGGCTTCCTGGGGATCAGGGAGCCTGATGTGGGGCTCGATCCCAGGATCCTGGGATCATGACCTGAGCCGAAGGCAGAGGCTTAATGACTGAGCCACCCAAGTGCCCCTTGGGGTCTTTTTTTAAAAAAAGATTTGTGAAAGAGAGAGGGAAAAAGAGAAGGAGCATTGGGGGAGGGGCAGAGAGCGAGAATCTTCAAGTGGACTTCCCACTGAACATGGAGCCCATGAGATCTCACCCCCATGAGACCATGACCTGAGCCAAAATCACGGGTTGACTGCTTAACCAACTGAGTCACCCAGGTGCCCCAGTTTTGGGGTCTTTTTTGCTTTATCTTTTCGTTTATAGCATGTAGAAATAGTCTTTATTATTCTAAATATCGGTGTCAGACTTTAATAATGGGATAAATAATGAATCTGATGTTTAAATCAAAATCTGTTACTTAGGGGCACCTGGGTGGGTTAAAGCCTCTGCCTTCGGCTCAGGTCATGATCCCGGGTTCCTGGGATTGAACCCCACATTGGGCTCTCTGTTCGGCGGGGAGCCAGCTTCCTCCTCTCTCTCTCTTCTCTCTGCCTGCCTCTCTGCCTACTTGTGATTTCTATCTGTCAAATAAATGAATAAAATCTTTAAAAAAAAAATGTTACTTATATTATCTAATTTTAGAGGGTCCGATGAAGTGGGAATAGTGCATTTGTAAGAATTATATGCAAAATAGTATCTTGGGCACTTGAATATTATTAGACATCAATTAGATAATGGCAGACTAAAAAGAGATCAATCAAAAGTACTTTTCAAAGAGAGAAACCAGGTGAATGTCTTGCTGTGGTGGTGGCAGTTTGGGGATGGGCTGCCGTGAAAGCTGACTTAGTCCTTGCTGTGTGACCCAGGTCCCTCAACCCTCCCCACATGACCCTACTCCTTCCTGGGGACCTAATGGTCCAGGAGATCCCCCAGTATGTTTGGGCTTCTGGGGGCTGCATGTGAAACAGAGGCAGCAGGAACAGAAGGACCATGTGGGGAAGGCTGCAGCTTGAACTCCCCCGTCAGCCAGTATCTGTTGTTTGGGTGGTTTTCGGTTGTTTGCTTCCTGAGCTTTCCTTCAGTCGACAGAGCCACCATCCAACTTTTATTTTTTTTAATTATTTTTTTTTAAGATTTTATTTTTATTTATTTGTCAGAGAGAAAGAAAGAGTGCACAGGCAGGCAGAGTAGCAGGCAGAGGCTTCCTGCCGAGCAAGGAGCCCGATGTGGGACTCGATCCCAGGACACTGGGATCATGACCTGAGCCAAAGGCAGCCACTTAACTGAGCCACCCAGGTGTCTCCAACTATTTTTAAGCTCTTCTGTCGTAGAAGAGAATCTTCTGTTGATAGAAGGACGTGGTCCTCTCCACTTCTTGTCTGTCCCTTCAGCTTCTTCTCATGGTTGCGTTTCTGATACGTGTAGTCATGTTTCTCTACAGGTGGACACGTTGTCTTCTCTATTCCCAAGCAGTGTGTTTTCTCCTCACTTGATTTCCTCTGTTTTGATTCAACCCATGCATTAGTTTCTCCTGAATTTGCTCTCCTTTATTCAGAGATGCTTTAGAGATGTTTTCAATATCAATTGCTTGAGATTGGAAGGATTTTTTGCATTTTTGAGTGACTCTGTCTGCCCTTCAAGGCGAACCATTGTCAGCATAGAAGATAAAAGTTTACGGAGCGCCCTTTTCAGTGCTTTCTTTGAGAGAGAGTCTGTTGTGTCTTCAGATGAAGACCTGTTCAGATTTTTATCTCGTGGCCTGACACAGTTGGTAACCTTGGAGGGTTGGCCTCCATTGCAGGTGACTTGAGCACCCTCACTGGCTTGTGTCATTAGTCCTGGCTTTTTATCACCTTTTTCATACACTTCAACCCAGGCAAAACACCTTTTGGCTAGCTCTGTTTCCCTTCTTAAAGTGTGTCGGCTCTTTACTATAAAACCACCATAGTAGCGCGTGGCAGGGTGTCCCAGGGAAACCCAGAGAGTCCTGGGACTATCTTGAATTTCCAGACGTCCCCAGAAGAGCACCCTGCAGTGGCTGGGAAGACATTTCAGGGATAGGCGGTGGGCTATCCAATGGGTCCAGAGGCCTCCATAGTTCTGCTTCCTACTACTAATGTCCTGGGGGCCACAAGTGACCACGTGGAACCCTGTAGAGTGTTCTGTCTCTAATGCCAACAGATGCCTGGCAACCAGGACAGACCAGCCATTGAGATGGGGGTAGGGGAAGACCAGTCAGGTTCTAGAAAACGGTTCTCTCTAACTTTGCTCTGTTCAGTGCACCAGTAGACAGTGTTATTACCTGTCCAGTGCCTTTGGGGAAGCAGAAAGGGCTGCTGCAGCCAGAAAACAGCATGGAGCTCAGGCCACTCCAAGCCCCCCAGCCCGTAGCAGACCCACTAGTGCCATGCCATAGCTCTTCTCTGGACACAAGCATGTCAGGCCATGGTGCTGGGGAACACTTCAGTAGAGGACTCCGTGTCCACATCCCTAGGGGAGGCCCATAGTCTCCCGATTTACCCTTCTTTCTGCCGCTGGGAAGTCTGAGCTTGCCTACAGCGGTCCTGCAGGGCTCTCCCTCTGAAGTCACCCATTTCCCTTTGTGTTTGGTCAGTGGAGGCAGGTGGGGGCAAAGGCCCCAAGGGTCTCACCAAACGTAGTAACTAAGGGACCTAGATAGCAATCCTAAGAACTCAGGAGGAGTCGATTGGAACTGTCCTGCTCTTAAAATTGCATGGATTTTCTGTGGAGCCAGTTTGTCCCCATTCTACCTGTGTTCCTGGAAGAGGGTGACCCTCCTTCGGGGATGACACATTGACTCCGGCTCCTTCTCTTGTGTGGCCCTGCCATTTCAGCTCATGGCCCACACGGTTACCCCGCGCATGGTCTCTAACCGACCAAGTATTCTTTAGAAAGATGCCCTGCTTGGGAGAGGGCCCTTCTTTAGGCTAAATTACCACCATTTTTTCCCTTCCAACCACATCTACTCTCCTAGAATCTCCAGCGGGCTGAGGCTCAGAGCTTCCTTATCCATCCTCTGGGACTCCCCATGAGTGACTTGTTCCCAACCCCTTTATCCACATGGGATACAAGAGAACCATCAGCAGAGGCCAATCTGGGGGTTTTGAAGGGCATTGGGGTTCAGGCCACAGATCTGTCCCACCGTCTAACCCCGTGGATGTGGAGAACAGAGGCTCTGACCAGGTTTGGTGGGGAGGGAGGAGGTGGCTAGAAGTCTTTGCTGATGAATGTTTGTTTACAGGTCCAATCTTCATTGAAAAAGGAAATTGCCACTTAGACAGTTATAGCCTCTTTCTGCAAGTAAAGAATTCAGCCATCATGGGGGAAAAAACAGGCTGGAGAAGATTTTAGTCTGGACTTAGGAGCTGCAGGAGACAGACACATGTGCAAGTAGCTTACACCAAAAGGGTCAGGAGATCGGGGGGCTGCAGATGGGAAGCCTGCAGGGGCCAGGACAGCACTGGGACCCAGGATCGGAATCAGGGAGTCCCTGCAGCCAGGAGTCCCTCTGTCTGTGTCCCTTCCCAGGTCTAAAAAAGCATGTAAGATTTCTCCTCTCAGTTTTCTCCTCTGGCGGGCACCTGCCTGCTGGCATCTGTCCTCTGAGTTTGGAAAATAGTTTTAAAAAAGAGAAGTTTGGGGGGCACCTGGGTGGCTCCGTTGGATTAGCGTCTGACTTGACTTTTGGTTTTGGCTCAAGTTAGGATCTCAGGGGTCCTGGGATCAAGCACGCATCAGGCTTCGCACTCAGCAGGGAGTCTACTCCAAGATTCTCTCCCTCTGTCCCTTTCCCCAATGCATTCACTTGTGTACATGTGCTCTCTTCCTCTCTCTCAAATAAGTAAAATTTTTTTTTTTTTTTTAAAGAGAGAAGTTTTTGAGTTATAATCTGCTGGCTCCAAAGAGCAGCATTTTTTTTTTTTGGTAACCTAATTTATCTTCTCTTTTAAAAAAAAAAAATCAATGTTAATTCATAGAAATGATGACTGGCTTTCTAGAAAAGTGCTAGTAAAAAAAAAATCAAGCCTTTCCTGTGATGTCCTCTTTTCTTTTGCAATCCCTCAAAATAGATTTGGTCTCATAATCTAATGACTATTTTCAGGCCTGTTGTGAGAGGTCCACAAGAAGGCACATTTCATTTTCGCAAACGGAAAGAAGGTTAACCAAATCTAGTTGGGCAACGTTGGTTTTCTCTTTTCTGCAGTAGTACAGACTTCTTTAAAACCAAACTGTCTATTTTGGACCCTTAAGGAAAAGACATCTGAATTTCTTAGGGCTTGCCATTTGTCAAGGACTGATTTTTTTTTTTTTTTTTTTAAATTTCAGGTGTATTTTTTTACAAGGGGCACCCAATAAAGCAGGTAGAGATCTTGGGAACTGTAATTGGAAGGAGAGAAAAAGATGCTTTCTACAGTTATGGAGGTAAGAACAATTGTGTCTGACATGGGGTTTATGTGGAAGGACCTCACTTAGCTGATCATTGCCTTTGAAGCAACGGCAGCCTTTCTGAGTGGCTGGGGACGCTTATGGAGCCCATACACTTGTCCTTTCTTAGGAGTCCCTTGGAGCCACCGACGTGGACTGAGTGTAAAATGAGGCAAAATGTAGGAATGAAGCTGATGAATACTGTCGAATGACAGCTGATGGGGAGTTAGGAGGTAGAAGAATTAGAATATGACCTTGTTGATCAGGGACAGACACCTGATACTGGAGGGCGTAGCCGTAAATAGCAATGGATGGTAGCAGATGGTTATATCGATACCTTTAAAAATAAAAAGGCCAGGGGCACCCGGGTGGCTCCGTCGTTAAGCATCTGCCTTTGGCTCAGGTCATGATCCCAGGGTCCCCGGGATTGAGCCCCACATTGGGCTCTCTGCTCAGCGGGAAGGCTGCTTCTCCCTCTCCCACTCCCCCTGCTTCTGTTCCCTCTCTCCCTGTGTCTCTGTCAAATAAATAAATAAAATCTTAAAATAAAATAAAATTAAAAAATAAAAAGACGAGATTAATGTTAAAGAAGACTCTCCCAAGAAGACAGGGAGGTATGAAAAATAATTGACAAGATTTATATTCAGAACAGGAATTTTAAAAGGCCTTTTGGTACTCAGGGCTGAATATCTATTATCAGAAAATTTCTGTCTCCTCATGATGATACAAACTAAATAAAGGATTTCTGTAGTTTGGACACCAGCAATTAGCGTTGTGGGTCTTGAGTTTTTTCATTGAGTTTAATGTAAGCATTTTAATCTGTTGCCTTGTGCAGCTCTTAGAGTCTCCACAGTTAAGAGGCCAAGCTGGGTATTTCCTGGGAAGCTGAACTTTGGATTCCAAACCTTTGCTCTAATTAGCGGTGTTGCTTTCTGTTGTGTTGCCCTGGGTTTGTGTCCTTGCTCTACTTGTGGAAACATAGAAGGCAGTTGAACTAGGGGACAAAGAACATCTCCCTGGCAGTCTGTGCGCCTTGGATAACGTAGAGTCTGGATGCATTTCGTTGTATTTCCTCAACGTGTTCATTTTCCTGAGGATGATTGTCTCGTGCTTATGAAATAACGTGTGAGGGAAGGTTTCTCATGCCTTCTTCTCTTCCCCAGCATATATATATATATATATATTTTTTTTTTTTTAAGATTTTATTTATTTATTTGTCAGAGAGAGAGAGGGAGAGAGAGCAAGCACAGGCAGACAGAATGGCAGGCAGAGGCAGAGGGAGAAGCAGGCTCCCTGATGAGCAAGGAGCCCGATGTGGGACTCGATCCCAGGACACTGGGATCATGACCTGAGCCGAAGGCAGCTGCTTAACCAACTGAGCCACCCAGGCATCCCCCCAGCATATATATTTTTTAAACTCCAAAATAGATCATCTTGTCAGGCATCCCCATACTGGATCTCTTCTCTGTTTTACCAGAGGTATTGGTTCTGTTTTTCTCCAGACAGTTCAGGAAGTACTCACCAGTTTCCTATAACATACTCAGCTGTGGGCAAGTACATTTTCTATAGTATAATCAGGTACTTCCTCTCCAAATCCCACTGATGAAGTAACAGTTTCAGGTTACAGAGCACTTTTACATGTGTACTTTTGTGTTACTCTCCTCCTGATGTTTTGAAATAGAAAGGACAGATGTTCTGGGGTGCCTGGGTGGCTCAGTGGGTTAAGCCTCTGCCTTCAGCTCAGGTCATGATCTCAGGGTCCTGGGATCGAGCCTCGCATTGGGCTCTCTGCTCAGCGGGGAGCCTGCTTCCTCCTCTCTCTCTCTGCCTCTCTGCCTACTTGAGATCTCTCTGTCTGTCAAATAAATAAATAAAATCTTAAAAAAAAAAAAAAAGGACAGATGTTCTTTCCATTTTGTTGATGAGGAAAAGAAGGCTCAGTCACTTGCTCAAGATTCCACTGATGGAGGTTTATAGGCGCAATCTGCTTACTGATTCCATTGTGATGTATAGTCTCCGTATAATTCAGTGTGATTTTTCTCTGTCCCATCACCTCACCACCCACCCTTGCACCAGAAATCAACTTTGTCTGTTTTTTTTTGTTTCGGGGGGGGGTTTTTTGTTTTGTTTTTTGGGTTTTTTTATTTTTTTTTGCTGGGGACAATATATTTCATTGATGGTATATGACAAAGTAGGGGTTCCCAAACCCACCCCTTCTCAGGGGTTCTGGGATGGACCTCTAATAGGTAGAGGTCAGGAGATTCTCAGTATATTGGGGGATGAATTGGGGCAAGGACTCCCCAGCAGCTGAGGGCCTTTCTCTTCCTCTTGCTCTCACTAGGGCTGGTGGTCCAGGGGGCCCTTATTCCTTGGAGGCCATGTGGACCTTAAGGCTCTCCCCCTGGATCCTTGTTGTACCAGGAAATAAGCTTGACAAAGTGGTGATGAGGGCAATGCCAGCCCCATCATTGAAGGTGGGAGAGTGGGTGTCACTGTGAAAGTTGCAGGACACAACTTGGTCCCCAGTGTATCCCAAGGTGCCCTTGAAGGGACCCTCTGATGCTTGCTTCACCACCTTCTTGACGTCTTCGTATTTGGCAGCTTTCTCCAGGCGGCAGGTCAGATCCATAACTGACACATTGAGGGTGGGGACACGGAAGGCTGTGCCAGTGGGCTTCCTGTTCAGCTCAGAGATAGCCTTGCCTACAGCCTTGGCAGCATCAGTAGAAGGAGGGATGGTGTCCTGGGCAGCCCTTCAGCTATCACATCTCAGCTTCCCAGAGGGGCTGTCTCTGATCTTCCAGGTGGCAGTGATGGTATGGACCGTGGACATGAGTCCCTCCACAATGCCGGAGTTGTCATGGATAGTGCAGGAGGCATTGCTAACAATCTTGAAGGAGTTGTCACACTTCTCATGGGTCACACCCATCACAAACATGGTGGCATCAGCAGAAACAGAGATGATGACCCTCTTGACCCCACACTCCAGCTGAGCCCCAGGCTTCTTCATGGTGGTGAAGACGCCAGTAGACTCCACTATGGACTCAGCACCAGCTCACCCCGTTTGATGTTGGCAAGATCTCACTTTGGAAGGTGGAGATGGGCTTTCCATTGATGACAAGTTTCCCCTTCTCAGCCTCAACTGTGCCATTGATCTTACAGTGTTGGAATCACGCTGGAGTGTGTAGACCATGTTGTTGAGGTCAACCAAGGGGTCATTGATGGTGACAACATCTGCTTCGCCAGAATTAAAAGTGGCTCTGGTGACCAGCACCTGATACGGCCAATGTTTACTCTGACCTTCCCCATTGTGTCTCAGGGATGCTGGGGCACTGCACTGGGAGGTGCGGCTATTTGTCGGGTGGGGAGAGACCCGACAGAGCCCCTCTGGTCTTTGATTGTTTTTTAGGTTACATGAAAGAGGCTATTCGAGGATCTTCATCCTGGCCCTAAAACCTTCACTTAACCCCTTTCCCATTCTAGAAATGTTAAGGAGATAGGCATGACTATTCCCCAATAAATGTTCTCTTCAGGGTAGAGGTTAGAAGCAATGGGCAGATGTGTCTGTGGGAAAACAAAAAGCACCTGAAGGTTGGGGTAATTGAGAGCAGAAAGAAGTTTAGTTCTTGTGAGGCCTGTTCAGGGGCGAGCTGGAGCCTCCCTGCTGTCTCAGGGCCAGCTTGGCTCTTGGGCCACTGGCCAGGCAGCCACTCCTCGCTGTCCTGGGTCCTGCTCCACCTGACTCACCATAGTCCTGTCCTGGGGGTGTTTCCTGTTCCCACTGACTCATTCCATTGCTGAAACAAAAGACCAGCGGCCCCGGCGGTGCTGCCCAACCGGGGAGGATGTTGTGCAGCTCTGCAAGGATGCTCCCTTTCTGGGGCATTCCAGCAGCCAGACCTCAGGCTGCCGGCTCCCAGCACCTGTTGGGAGATGTTGCAGGCCAGAAAGTCCAAGGCTTTGGTGGCCGTGCCTGGCAGAGCACTTGGCAGCAACTCAAGCTCATACCTAAAATCCTGGGAGACTGCACTGTTAGTGTCTTCACAGTTTCTAGAACAAATGTTCATGTGCTCATGTTTTTACTTTACATGATAAACCAAGATTTTACACTGGCCAGAGAAGTGGTGTCCCTAGAGGTGTCATATAGTCGTCGTTTTTTAACTCCGAATGTCCTCATTGATTTATTTTAAAATGACACTCATATCATAAAATAAAATTTAAAACTAGAGAAATTTTTCCTGAAGTACATAAAAGTCATGTGAAACCCTATAAATAAGATAAAAACAATGTCACTGTTTGGGTGAATGTCCCTCCTAATGTTTTTTACTTGTTCCTAATATTGGAGAAATAGAGATGTGTCTTATTTCCTTATACTATTATGCATATTTCTTTCTCTTAAAATCTCCAAAATGAGGCTTATAATCAGGATGTACATTCAGTGTGGAGTTCCTTTCCAATGTTCCAGAAAAACCCTGCTATTATCGTTTCACTGTCTTAAAATCATTTCTGTCAAAATACACTACTTAATGTTTTACATAAATTAGATTATATATAAGATTTCTTTTTTAAAATGAAGCATGATATCTTTTTTTTTTTAAGATTTTATTTATTTATTTGACAGAGAGAAATCACAAGTAGGCAGAGAGGCAGGCAGAGAGAGAGGAGGAAGCAGGCTCCCTGCTGAGCAGAAAGCCCGATGTGGGGCTTGAACCCAGGACCTGGGATCATGATCTGAGCCGAAGGCAGCGGCTTAACCCACTGAGCCACCCAGGCGCCCCAGCATGATATCTTTTAATAGCAGTGAACATAAATCTTCATTATAACTATTTTTATATGGTATGCCACTGTAATTTATTTAACAAATTCCATATTTATAAGCATTTAGATTATCTCCAACTAACAATATTATAAACAATGTTGCAACAAACAGCCTTATACAAGATGTGTAAATCTGTGTGTGTATTCTGTTTTTCTCTTCAGGATAAATTTCTAGAAGTAATCACTCAGGCAAAGAGTATGTACATTTAAAAAATCAACACGTTTCCAAACTTGCTCTTTAGAAATTTGATATAAATTTATATTCCCACTAACAGCATATGAGGATATCAGTATTTTTAATGTTTGTCATTCTAATAGTTGAGAAATTATTTAAGTTTGTTCTTTTTCTGGTAACTAATGAGTTTAGTGTACTGACACATGTGTATTTGGCTGTTTTTATATCTTCTGTAAATTATGTATTCTTTCTCCTTGCCATTTTTTGTCTGGTGGTTCTGATCTTTTCTTATTCATTTGTATAAGCGAGCTATCTATCTATCTATCTATCTATTTATTTATTTGAAAGGGGGTGCAGAGGGAGAGAGATAATCTCAAGCAGACTCCGTGCTGAGTGCAGACATGGGGCTTGATCTCACAACCCTGAGATTATGACCTGAGCCAAAATCAAGAGTCAGATGCTCAACAGAGTGATCCACCCAGGCACCCCTGTGTGAGCTCTTTATATATTAAGACACTAGCCCTGTCATTCAGAAAATTGCTGTAAGGTATTAAATTTTTATTATTTATTTATTTAAAGATTGTATTTATTTATTTGACAGATAGAGATCACAAGTAGGCAGAGACGCAGGCAGAGAGAGGAAGGGAAGCAGGCTCCCCGCTGAGCAGAGAGCCCGATGCGGGGCTCGATCCCAGGACCCTGGGATCATAACCTGAGCCAAAGGCAGAGGCTTAACCCACTGAGCCACCCAGGCGCCCCGGGTATTAATTTTTAGTTGGTCATCTATATCAGACTTTTAAAAATGAGTTCTGATCTTCAAGTCTGGTTAAAGAAGTCTCTTCCAACCAACTATAAGCCCAAGGTCCAAACATACTTACCCATATTTTCTTCCTATCTTTTTAAGTTTACCTGTTTGATTTAATAAAATCTATTTAGAATTTATTTTTGTATAAGAAATATTTTTCTTGGCTTCTGCTTCCAGTGCAGGTTTAAACCAGCAATAAAAAAATTTGCCCAGGGGCGCCTGGGTGGCTCAGTGGGTTAGGCCGCTGCCTTCGGCTCAGGTCATGATCTCTGGGTCCTGGGATCGAGCCCTGCATCGGGCTCTCTGCTCAGCAGGGAGCCTGCTTCCTCCTCTCTCTCTGCCTGCCTCTCTGCCTGCTTGTGATCTCTGTCTGTCAAATAAATACATAAAATCTTTAAAAAAAAAATTTGCCTTATATTCTGTTTTACATGTGCATTTACAACAGTCTTGCTGATGATTTTTTTAAAAAACCACTGGTCTCTTTTTTTGAGTTTTTCAGAAATTAGAGAAAACACCTCTCATACCAAACATCTCCAGTTCCTCTGCAGTTATAAATCCACGTACAATGGGAATTCTTTGTGTGTGTGTGTGTGCGTGTGTGCGTGTGTGTGTGTGTGTGTGTGTTGCACTAGGGATAAAATAAGCCAAAATTATTTATGTGATTAAAGTATAATTATGTTCTAGTATGAAAACAAAACTTTGGTCTTCTGCAATATACTTGGCTTTCCTTATGTCCTCTGCAGTATTAAGGACTGGGCAGAAGCTCATTCATAAAGAGAAGTGGGATGCTTTGTCTTGGGAGGCTGTGGAGCTCGTGAAAGAGTAGATGGTGAGAGATGGTTGCCCTCTGAGTCTTCTTACCATGGGCTATATCAGCGCACTCTTGCTTCAGGGTGGGAGGGCAAGGCCCAATTTGCATGTTAGCATTCATGGAGATGTCTGTACTTAAGCTCCTGAGGATGGTGAGGACAGGAATCATCAGTACCCCCAAGGCGGGATGAGTGAAATGTTTACCTTATGCTCACGTATCACAGTGAGCCGTGCAGACAGGCAGTTCCCGTCGGTGTACCCACAGACATTACTTCTGAGAATAGAAGGAGAGTTTCACAAGGGGTTTGCCCAACCAGGCTATTGAAAGATGCATTTTGGGGTATGGCTGAATGCGATGACAACCCGCTCATTCACTCGCGATGCCCTTTTGCACTTCTCTTGCAGTGGACGACAGCACTGGAGTTATCAATTGTATCTGCTGGAAAAAGTCGAACAATAACGAGGCTTCATCAGGTACTTTCATTTGACACCCTCCTCTACTTTCCAGCTAACCAATGGTTTTTACTCAAGGGGGCTCATCAGAACAGCTGTAGGGCTAAGTTTACATATTTGTCCTCTGGTGAATTCTGTGGATCAGCCTGAAGCACTAAACCCGGAGCTCTGGGCCCTCGGCCGACTGATGTCACAGAAGAGCAAGTTGTGTTTTTTTCTGCCGTCTCCTCTTTGGTGCTCACTTCCTTCTGAGCCTGCCTGCCACCGTGGGACCAGGTTGCTGGGAGGTGGAGCATTTCCTTTTACCGTGGTCGTTATCACAGAAGTCGAGGTGTTTTAGCCTAGTTGCCAGTCGGCTCAGAATCCCCTTGTTCCACATGTAACCCTTGACCAAAGAAGGTTTTGGAGATTTTTCCTTTTGCATGATTGCCACTAACATCTGTGCTGCCATGATCCAGATTTTCTGAAATCTCAAGGATACCAGAAATTCTAAGATTGATGAGAAGGTAAATAGGATTCCTTTGAAGTTAACTATTGAGTAACATGAACTGAAAAGAAACTAAATTTATTGCTTTTAAAGATTTTGTTTATTCGAGAAAGAGAGAGAGTGAGAGAAAGAGAGAGAGCACGAGCAGGAACAGGGGTAGAGGGGCAGAGGGAGAAGCAGACTCCCTGCTGAGCAAGGAACCTGATGTAGGCTCCATCCCAGGAACTTGGGATCATGACCTGAGCCAAAGGCAGTCACTTAACCAACTCAGCCACCCAGATGCTCTGGAAAGAAACTTTAAAATTGTATATTGAACCCATTGACTATAACTGAAACAGCATTTGGAATTCCTTGAGTATATTTTAATAGGCCCTAGGGAGTTTTTTCAGATAAGTTCATAATTAAAAAAAATATATTGGACAGTACTGATGATCATTTTTGGCTCTAGAGAAGCGACAGCCACTGGGACCTTGTCTTCCCGTCTTGCAGCACACACAGGGCAGTGCCATACACACTGGGGTCATTCATGAAATAGTGCCTGCTATTCTATCTAACATCTGTATCCATCTCCTTGGGTGATACACGGTGTCTTTCCTCTTTGCCATTACCTGCCAGGATCTCAGCTTCTTACTTTGACTGTCCGGACCAGTGCAATGGCCCTTGACTTAATTTTTGGACGTATTTACATTTACAACTTGGCCACCAGTTTCCTATGACTTCAGTGTTCCATTTCCTTATTTGGGAACATCTTAATCATTGGCACTGCTTTGCTTAAGATGCTTTGTAGATTAAAAAAAAAAAAAAAAAAAATTAAGGGGCGCCCAGGTGGCTCAGAGGGGTAAGCCTCTGCCTTCAGCTCAGGTCATGGTCTCAGGGTCCTGGGATTGAGCCCCGCATCGGGCTCTCTGTTCAGCAGGGAGCCTGCTTCCCCCTCTCTCTCTCTCTGCCTGCCTCTCTGCCTACTTGTGATCTCTCTCTGTGTGTTAAATAAATAAAAATCTTTTAAAAAAAATTAAGACAACAGGTTTATATACGGCTGTTTCAGAGGTAAGAAATAAACCTATAAGACAATCAGATTCTTGACTTTTCATATAGCTGTGTCTAGGATATTAAAATCAATTCGCAGACTTAGAGTTTTAGTGTTGTCAAAACCTTCAATCAGAGCATGTAGTTTGAATATATGTGCTTGTTTCAGGCCATGGAGCAGCAGACTTGTTCTGTACAGGGTCAGATAGACAATGTTTTCTGCGTTGTGGGCTCTCTGGTCTGCACCTTGATTACCCGGCGTTGCCATGGGGATACAGAAGTGGCCACACACAGTACATACAGTAAAACTTTATTTACCAAAACAGGTTGTGGGTGGATCTGGCCCAGGGGGGCTGTAGCTTGCTGATTCCTATTTTAGACATTGTTCTAATTTCCAAAATCAACTCTTTTTTTTTTTTTTTTTTTTTAAAGAATGACCTTAGGAATACTATATAACTTATATTTAGTCATTTTTTAGATAAAATGGCTACTAATACTGAGAGTGAGATTTTTAAAAGATTTGTAAGTAGATGAATAGATGAACAGTCACGGTGGGCAGCCTTAATTGGAAATTCCTTTGAGAATAAAAAGAGAGAATAAGAACGCAAGGAGAAAGCCCAAAAAGGATTCTCATCATGTTACATACAAAGTGATATTTTAAAATTATTCCTGACTAGCCCATTCTCTCCTTTTCATCTAATTGCCCTCAGTTTAAAAGCTTTCCCCTGGAATGTGGCCAACGAAGACAATTTTTTTTAAACAGAATTTAGTCTGAGTCAAAATCTTGTTCTAGTCCGTTAAGGTGTATGAGAATAGGCCATTAATTCCTATAAATGTCCTGTCGAATGTACCATTTGGACTGGCTTGTGAGACAAATTAAGAAAGCTTGGCCCTTGATACTAGAACTTTGGGGGTGGGGGGGGGGCGCTCTCTTCCAGCGTGGAATAGACTACTTAAAATGCAGCCCGGTCAGGCTCCAGCCATCTCATTAGGTTCACCAAATTACAGAGCTCGAGCCATCCTTTCAGCAGTTCGGCTCACCCTTTAAATGAAAGCTGGGCCTCGTTCTCAGACTGGCCGCCTGTCCGGTCATTTCAGCAGTGCTGTAGGAAGCGTTTATTATGACGTGTTTTCAGTTCAGCCCAAGTACAAGATGGCTGGATGGGACAGGAACACAGACGGAATAACATTTTATAAAGTAACACTTGGGTGTTTTTTGAAGAAAGCTGGTACGCTGAGTACCGTTAGTGCCGATAGTGTCTAGATTCCTAGGTGTTGGTTACTGGATACAGAGTGCCCCGTACTCCCTGGGTTGCTCTTTCCCCGGATAGAGTAGATGCGGTACAAGAAAAGTAGTGCCTTTGCACTTTACAAAGCCACAGTCATCTAAGTTGTGTTAGATTAGAAAGACAGTGTGATCAATAGGCTAATAGAACATCTGTTCATTCATTATAGGAACACTAAGTGTATGGCAGACCAGAAATAAATCAAGAGCAGGAAATACATGAGCATTTAACAAAAGTTGTTGGCTCAGGTAGATAAAAATATTTTTTAAAAGAGGTGACCGTGATCCGTATCTTCCAGCTTGCATGACATAACCCAAAGAAGATGGAGTTGTGTATTTATCACAGCAAGTATGGGGGTGTACATGTTAAACTCTGATAAATCCTTAGCTGTTAAAGCACCAAAAAGTATCATCAGTGACAATAGGATAGACTAAACATTTTTTTCAAACTTTTATGTAGTAAAATGAAATAAAAAAGCATAGAAAAGCAGTGGAATGGGGGGAGTGGATGTAATTAGCAGAACTGATAAAGCTTCCCTAAAAATTTTTCAGAAGTTAACATGAAATATTCAAAAGACATGAAGGATACATAGAAATGAGTAAGATGATTTCTTACACGTAAAGAAATACAGAGAGCAGATCATCTTCTATAAAAACACAGAGCCAGTTTAAAAGCAAAAATAAAACATCATGGAATCATTATGTATGTTTTAAGGTACTAAACATCCAAGCCAGTGTAGGAGCTACAAGTGTGCGCACATCGCTGGCCACATCTTGTAAAAAGAGAACAGTTGGAATGTTTCTTTCTGGCAAACCTTCTGACAATATGTAATGAACTGTGAACCTGTTTTTAACTTTTCTGTCCAGTAATTCCCAACAAAAGACCCCAAGAAAAACACACAATTTTGTCTAGAGGGCTTCATTACTTGTTTTTTACAAATAGCTGACATTTATAGACCATTTCCTGCGGCTCTGACATTGTGCCAAACCCATGATGTAAGGGTTAACTTAGATCATGTGCAACAGTTCTGTGTGCAAGGTGGACTGTGTTGTTACCCACAGCCCGTAGTTGAGGCAACCCCGGTGCAGTGAGGTTAACAGCCTGCCCGCGGTCTCAGAGCTGGTAGGAGGTGAGTGGAGATTTCAACCCAGTCTGTCTGACTCCGTTATCCAAGTGCTGACCTCTAAGTCCCATCTGGTGCTGGTGATTAAAGCCAAAATAAAAAATTACAGGGATGCCTGGGTGGCTCAGTTGGTTAAGCCTCTGCCTTCAGCTCAGGTCACGATCTCAGGGTCCTGGGATTGAGCCCCACATCGGGCTCTCTGCTCAGCGGGAGCCTGCTCCCCCCTCTCTCTCTCTGAAATATCTCGTGATATTTCTCTCTCTGTCAAATAAATAAATAAAATTTAAAAAATATTACAGAAAGAGGGGAGAATGGGACATTTAACACGACTAGCTCATCGAACTGTGGCTTGTTAACATGCCAGTGCTCTACGATTTTTTAAAGTGCTTGAGTTGTATAGATTCTGTAGATACACGTGTGTATCTGAACTTGGCCCAGGCAGAAAATCAGAACGTCGAATTGTTTACACACCCCAGCTGTAACTGGAAAACGCGAGAATGCTCATGGGGCAGGCAGCAGAGAATAAAGAATAATAAGCACGTTGGGGCTGGAGTCAGGAACCGCCTGGATTCAAACTGTGGCTTTGCGGCTGGCTAGCTGTTTTACTTTGTGCAAGTTGCTTGACCTCTCTGTGACTCAGTGTCCTCTATAAAATGAGGCCAAGAATGAATGGGTGTAGTGGTGAGGTTTAGGTGTGCTGATCCACTATAAAGTCCTTAGAGCAGCGCCTATAGTACCCAAGTATTCATGGCTGTGCTTACTATTTAATACAATTTGAAATTAAACTTAAGTAATAGAAATTACTTAGAATTGAATGTGCATTGGATTATTTTCACCATGAAGTTGCTTAAACTTACGGTTTTAAGTGGTGTGAGAATGTGTATGTGAGAGAGAGAAAGATCAGTGACCCAGTGACCCAACAAAGATGAGAGGCAAGAGATTAGGGTGTTGGGTACCAAAGTGGGAAATCACCCTGAGGCACATTCACTTTCCCCATAAACAGAACTGCATATGGAGACCTGGGTCCCCTTTTCTCCTATGCCAGATTTGTCTTCATGCAAAGACACTTGAAAGGGTTGTTGAGCGCTGTTTCTACCAAACCCAGATGAATCCTAGGAATTCAGCTTAGGACCACATAGAGCCCTTTGAGGGCACTGGCAATGTAGGAGCAGGGGAGAACATGTTGGAGCCCTGCCAGAACTTTCTTACTTGGGTTATCAGGCCTCCTAGACTCCATTCCCATTATCCTACTTTCGAATAGTTAACAGCTTAGGCCTGTGTTCAGCAGAGAATTTCAGAAGGGTGTGCAGGTTTCTTACAGTAGAGCGGCTCATCAGAAGGAGAATGACCCAACACCATCTCACACATGTGGTGCAGTGATCGTGTTATGCTTTTGTCTCTTCTTTTCTGGTCCTAGCAACTACAGCTACCGCAACACTAGGGGCGCTGAACTTAACCTCACAGCTTAAGAAGCTGCAAGATACCATTGAGCAGAAGACAAAGATCGAAATTGGGGACATTGTCCAGATCAGAGGTTATGTCCACACATACAGAGAAGAACGAGAGATTCGTGTCACTACTTACTGTAAGCACGTAATCTCTGCCAAACTGGTTGATGTTCTGGGTGTATGTCCAGTAAACTCTGGGTTTGCTAAAAGTCAAATGGTGGAAAAGTTCAGATTTAAAAAAAAAAAGTAACTCTTTACTGGAGGAAATTTTATTTCATAACAGGCTTTCTTTAGAAAAGCAGCATTTCTTAACTTTATTTTGAAGAGCAGTGACTAGAAATTGGGGAAGAAAACTAATGATGTATTATATATACCCGGCAAATTTATTTGGGCCGCATCAGCTTTTAAAGTACTTTGAAGTTTGAAGTGGCAGTCCACGTTGGGTACAATGTTCATATTCTTTAAAATGTTAGAGATTTCTTGAACACTGCTGAGTCCATTAACTTTGAAGGAAAAGAGCTCATCAGAAATACGATAGTCCCACATCCTCTGAGTGATACATTTTGCAGGGCTCTGGCTGACTTGGGTTGGAAATCCCACGGATGACCCCCATTGTTCGCCATTGTAGCAGATGGGTGAATAAGGGAATGTGCTTTCCCTGGTTCCAGTCTGCTGCTGGACAAGCCTATGATGCTGAGGGCATTGCATTCCCTCTCAAAAGATGACTGGGACCCACACTAAATGTGCATCTAGAATGTATGCTCCTTGGGCACCTGGAGGAAGGGTGACCCACTAGGTGCCTAGCAGCAGTTTGGACGTGAGAAAGAGCTGATCTCATTGTATTTCTATGGCATGTTTTCCCCCATGGCTTGTTAGATAAAGTGGATGATCCCGTGTGCAACATTCAAATCTCGAGAATGCTGGAGCTGCCCCGTATCTACAGGAAGGTTTACGACCAGCCTTTCCGCAGCCCAGCCCTAGAGCAAGAAAGGTAAGCTGTGGCCTCTCCCTGCTGAAGATGTGATGATGGCAGTAAGGCCAAGTAGTGGGCGCCCAGATGCTGGGGTGGGCCGGGGTTCAAATCCTGAAGGGTCCACACTCATGGTGGGGCTACGAGCAAGTCCACTTACTCCCCATATTCCTTCATTTTCTTACCTGCAAGGTGGAGATAGTAATAGTACAGATATTCTAAGGTTCTTGTGAGGAAAATGTGTGTGTAATAGGGAGTCCCTGAAGGAGTGCAGGGAGCAGAGAAAATGTATTTGAAGAAATAACGGATAAAGTTTTTCCAAGTTTGCTGAAAACTATATAAATGCCCAGATCCAGGAAGCTCAATGAGCCCCCAAGGCAAGAAACCAAAAGAAAACTGCCCTGGAACCTCAAAATCAAAATACTACTCTCTGACACATTCTAACAAAAAACTGTAAAAAATGATACCCGTCATTCCCAACCCGGACTGATTTTACTTTCTTGTGTGGTGGGGGAGCAGGAGGACTAAGAATATATGTATACTCGTTAGTGTCTGCATCAGAGAACTCTGAGAGCTGCCAGAAAACCGGTAATAGCTTCTTCCTACGGGTAGAACTGAAAAAAGTTTAGAAAGGAGACTTCACTGTGTACCCTTTAATTTTTTTTCTAAGATTTTATTTTGAGGGAGAAAGAGTGCATGGAGCTGGGGGTGGATGGGGAGGGGCTGAAGGCGTGGGAGAGGAGGAGAGAACCTTGAGCAGACTCTGCACTGAGCACAGAGCCTGACGCAGGGCTCTGTCTCACGACCACCAGATCACGACCTGAGCCAAAAGCAGGAGTCAGCCACTTAGCCGACTGAGCCACCCAGGCACCACGCCCTCCACCGCCACTTTAATTTTTTTAAACATACATACGTTACATATTCAAAAAATGTATGTTAAAAAAACCCCAAACTCTAAACCTGTGGAAAGTAAGAGTGGAAGCTCCCCATTTTCCTGCCTCAGTACCATTTCCCAGAGGTTGCCACCATTCGTAGGTTGAGGTGTATCCTTTTAGACATTTTTCTTCTGTGCGTATACAAGCATGAATATTCACCCATGTCTTTTTAGGTTGTCATTTGCTTTTTAATACAAATGGGAACATACTTTATATACCATTCTGCAGCTTGACTTTTTTTCAGAATTTCTCATGAATATTATAGTTCCTAGAGTCCTGCCTCATCCTTTTAAACGACTGCACAGTACTGACTGTACGACTGCCCTTTATGTCAGAAACAAGCGTTATTATTGAACAGACTGATTACCAGTAATGAATTTGAATCAGTGGTCAGAACACTCCCAAAACACAAAAGTCTAGGACCAGATGGCTTCACAGGTGAATTCTATCTAACATTTAAAAAAAGAGTTAATACCTATTCTCCTCGAATTATTCCAGAAAATAGAAGGGAAAGGAAAGTTTCCAAATACATTCTGTGCCGCAGGCATTACCCTGACACTGAAACCAGACAGACACGCTATAAAAATAGACAACTACAGGCCCATATCCCTGATGAACATGGAAAATCCTCAACAAAATACCAGCAAACTGCATTAACAATGCACTAAAAGGATCATTCGCCATGATCACGTGGGATTTATTCTGGGAATGCATGGATCGTTTAATATCCACAAATCAATCAACATGAGACACCACATTAATAAAACAAAGCATGAGAGTCACATGATCATTTCAGTAGATGCAGAAAAGGCATTTGATAAAACCCAACAGTCATTCATGGTAAAAACTTAACCAAGGAGGTAGAAGACCTGTACTCTGAAAACTATAAAACATTGATGAAAAAATTGAAGGTGACACAAATGGAAAGATACTCCATGCTCATGGATTGGAAGAATTAGTATTGTTAAAAGGTCCATACTGCCCAAAGCAATCTATGGATTCAATGCAATCCTTATCAAAATACCAACAGCATTTTTCAAAGAACTAGAACAAATAATCTTAGAATTTGTATTGAACCACAGAAGACCCAAATAACCAAAGCAATCTTGAGAATGAAGAACAAAGCTTAAGGTATCACAATCCCAGATTTCAAGATATACTACACAGCCACGGTAATCAAAACAAGTATGGTACTGACACAAAACTAGACACATAGGTCAGTGGAACAGAATAGAGAGCCCAGAAATGAATCCACATTTATGTGCTCAATCTCTAACAAAGGAGGCAAAAATATACAATGGGGGAAAGTTTAAAAATCGGTTTAAAAAAAAAATTAAAAATAGAAATGCCATATGATCCAGTAATTCTACTACTGGATATTTACCCAAAGAAAACAAAAACACCCCCATGTTTATTGCAGCCTTATAAACAGAGGTCAAGATATGGAAACAAGCTAAGCGTCCATCAAAGGAGAGGAATGTGTGGGGTGGGGGATGGACAAAATGGGTGAAGGAAAGTAGATACGGGTTTCTAGGTATAGAATGAATATGTTGTAGGAATAAAAGATACAGCACAGGGAATACAGTCAGCAGTACTGTAATAGCTCTGTATGGTGACAGATGGTACCCGCGCTTGTGAACGTAGCGTAGTATAGACTTGTCAGTTGCTGTGTTGTACACCTTAATTTAAAAGTGGGTGTCAGCTGTACTTCAGGCAATCAAACAAACATCAATATAGTGTCACATGTCCCAGCCAAATTTCTGTTTTAAAAAGAAGCAAAGGTGATAGTTTTCTGCAGGGCTTTTCAAAACTTTCCCCCAGCAGTGATCCAGGTGCCTTGGACCTTGCCAATCTCACGTGTTTGCTGAGTGAAAGAGCCAAAGAATTCCTTGTGGAGAACAAAGTGCAAACCTTTTATCAGCAGGAATTGGAAATTGTGGAGTCTCTGATGTCCCTTGCCAATCAGCCTGTGATTCACAGTGCCGGCCCTGAGCAGGTAGGTGCAGCACGCATGCCCATGTGAGAATTCAGGTCCTCTGTCCCGTATGTGCAGCTCAAGGGTGTGGGCGAACATGACTGTGGCATGGACACTCAGAGGGTAGACCAGGGCATAGAAGTTCTGGTGCTAGTCCATGTGTCTCTTCTGGAAAGGTCACTGGTGCTAGTCCATGTGTCTCTTCTGGAAAGGTCACTGACCACTAAGAATTTGAAATGAGAATGTACCTGCCCTTTTGCCCTCTTCACTTAATCTCAGTAAACTTTATCTTTGGGGAGGGGGAGAAAGTAGTTTAAGGTTCATACTGTTCCTTAGTATTTATGAGATGGGTGTTTAATCTCAGAAGCAGGAGATAAATGAGAAGAGGCAATTTTCTTTCCAAGATTATTTATTCAGCAAGATGATTTTTTTTAAAAGATTCTATTTATTTATTTGACACAGAGAATAAACACAAACAGGAGGAGGGGAAGAGGGAGAGGGAGAAGCAGGCTCCCTGCTGAGCCCGGAGCCTGACGCAGGGCTTGATCCCGGGACCCTGGGATCATGACCTGAGCTGAAGGCAGTTGCTCAACCCACTGAGCCTCCCAGGAGCCCTAGCAAGATGATTCTTGAACCAAAGTTTTTAATAACTTGCTCTCTCTCCATCAAAATAAGGTTATCTTTTAGGATTTATATAAAGACCAAGCTGTATTCAGTCTGGTTTATAAGAAAAATTTCTAGAAACAATCAAGTAATTTCTTACTCCTCTGGAAAAGAGCTATCCCTTTTCCCCCCTCATGTTACAGGTGAACTTAAGTTGTTTGGTGTTTATTCAGTTGTAATTAAGAGTTATTTGAAACTTTGGTTTTAGGCTTTCCCTTTCATTGCGATTCTCAGGTTTTTTGTTGTTGTGACACCATTTATTTTTATTTATTTTTTTTTTATCTCTGCTGAAATGTCACCTTCTTGCCCTCCCCCCATTTGCTGTGATAGCCACCTGCTTCCTCACTGTGTTATCACCCTGTTTTCATATCTCAGGATATCACTGGTATTTACATGTTTGTTTGCCTGTTCCTCTGCCAGAATTTAAATTTTACAAGAGCAGAGGTCTTCCTTATCTTGTCTTCACTCTCTAGAACCATGGCCCAGAACAGGGCTGCCATAAACTAAGTTCTTGATTATTTGTTGGTTGAAGGAATGAGTAGTTTTTAAAAATTTAAATAGTCTCCGAAGGTATCTAGTTAAAGTTTCCTTCCCATCCTCCCTCATACCCCCTTCCCCCAGAGATAAGCACCATTACTAGCCTCATGAATATCCTTCCAGAGAGAGTCTGTGCGTTTATAAACTAGGAGTGATTATATCCCCCCACCTTCTTTTTACACAGTCGGTAGCAAGCTAAACTCTGATCTGTACCTAGCTTTTCACTGAATGGCTTGTCTTAGCCTTTCCTAGCCATTCATACAGATTTGCCACTATAATGATCTCTTGTTACATGTACCATAATTTATTTAACCACTCTCTCCATTTCTGGACTGTTTAGAAGTTTTCCGGTCTTTTGTCACTGCCAGCAGAGCTGCCGTGAACACCTTGTTAGGTAACATAAGTTATCCTCGTGATTCTGGTGGAACAGATACTGGGTCCTCATCCTGACCTCCTAGGCCACGGCCGCTGCTTCTCAGTTTCATTCACGAACCTAATTATCTTGGCCGCAGGCTGTGGGCCCGGTGACCCGCGATGTCATTTGCAGAGACCGGGATAGCGTGTCAGGGACGCCCCGGTGGGGAGGGCCCGGACTGGCTGCTGCCTTCTGCGACACCGCCGCTCGCTCCTTCGCGGCCGGGGCCCTCTAGCTGGCCACCGTCCACAAGATTAGCCTTTCTCTCATGTAGTCATCCAGAGGCGGCTCACCGCCAAGTTAGCCCCATAGCACTTCTGACCACTCTGTCGGCCTGTTTGGAAAGAAACTGAAGCTTAGCAAAGACCGCATTCTTCCTGTGAACCCGCTTTTCTGTCAGGGCCAAGGATTCTCTCAAGGCTTCTCCATTCAAAACAACCATAGGGAACTTCTGGCGTGATATCTTTCTGAAAATGCATAGAGCAGAAACTTACATCTGCCCGTCATGTATGTTTAAAGAGATATGAATGTGGCACTTTGTTTTGTCTTTGGAAACTCTTTTCCATCAGTTATGAATTACTCCCTCACATGACTCTGGTTGGGGAGGTCAGCGTCATTAAGTTGAATTCTGCTTAATAGAGCCTAGGAGACGAAGGATGCTTTACAATGATTGTGAAACCCTAGATCCTCTGGCACTTTCTGTTGTCATACAGATGAAAGCTTCACAAAAAATCGTTGTGATCGTGTTATACAGTTTAGAGGCCAAGGGAGAGAAGGTTTGAATGTCCCCCGCCCCCTTTTCTTTTTCCGTAGTGGCCCTTCTCAGCAAATCCAGAAACTTGATAAGCAGACCTTGCAAAACCATTGTTTCTTTGACAGCTGGATAAATGTGGAGTGTGTTTGAGAATGAAGACTATATATATATTTCAGAGATCCACCCAGTTCCTGACCTGCGGCTCGGAGAGGCCCGCTCGGGCTTAACATGATCCGCCAGTCACACTTTCTGTCTCTGTGCAGTTTCGGTTTCCTGAATCGCATGAGCCTTGTCTTTAGAAAAAGACAAGGACACAAATCCCAGGCCAGGTCAAACTACTGGCTAGCAGAGATGATTGGAGGCCTTGCCCCCTGAGACTGTGGCGTTAGAACCACTAGGGAGCTGTGTTCTGAGGTCAGCCGAGGCAAATGTTTTTGGAAAGGAAGTTTCACACACTGTTTATATTCACAGAGCCTCTTCTGTTGGGTCCTTGTTCACAGCTGAAACTGCTTCAGATCTCACAGACCTAGCACACTTTCTGCTGCCTGAGCTTACAGAAATCTGGGAGGAGGAACTGAGCTTTTGTGTGGTCTGGGGATAACCAGGAGTCCTTTCTAATGATGGCAGTAATCATGCAACAATCATTTTTAGTCTCCAATATATTTCTATCTTGGTAAGAGCCATAATAAACTTGACCCTTAGGATCGTGATAGTAAATGGACTAAAAAGATGAATTCCTTAGAATGACGAAGATTAAGTAGCCGTAACTGTTTCATGAGGGAGTCTATTTTGGGTTGATTGTGCTTCCCCTAATAAATACAGCTTTCCTTGAAGCCCCCAGAATACAAGGCTGTGTGTGACCGAGAACTGCTGGGTGAGTTGTTTATTCTAAACAAACTCACAGAGATTTTCTGCCCCGGGGGAGTCATCACATAGTTTTGGCCTTATTCTGCCTTCAGAGATCAGATGTTGTCATAACTGGGAATGTTTGTCAACTTTCAGGCCTTTAACGTTCTAGTAACCAGGTGCCCCAGCTTGTTGACTTTTTATTAATTGAGAGTGTTAGACTATCCTCTTCAGGCCAGGGGAGCGTGTTTTTGAAACATCACTAGGATCCATTAGATTAAAACAATGCCTCTTTGGGGGCATCTGGGTGGCTCAGTCAGTTAAGCAGCTACCTTTGGCTCAGGTCGTGATCCCAGGATCCCGGGATCTAGTCCCACATCGGGCTCCCTACTCAGTGGGAAGCCTGCTCTCCCTCTCTCACTCCCCCTGCTTGTGTTCCTGCTCTCACTGTCTCTCTCTCTCACTGTCGAATAAATAAATAAAATCTTAAAAGAAACAAACAAACAAACAGTGCCTCTTTGAAAGTCTTCTTCAAAGAGGGTTTCTTTAGAGATGTGGTTATCAATGCTTGAAGCCATTTGGGAGTTTCTTTCCTTTCCCTGTCACTTGCTGGAAATGTCATTGGCAAATGACAAGCAAGTTCTCTCTTTCAGCATCTGTGGGTACTGCCTCAGATAGCTTTCATCAGCATTCTTTTTTTTTTTTTTTTTAAGATTTTATTTATTTATGAGAGAGAAAACAAGTGGGAGGAGGGGCAGAGGAAGAAGCATAGGGGGCCGGATGGGGGACTCAGTCCCAGGACCCTGAGATCATGACCTGAGCCTAAGGTAGACGCTTAACCCACTGAGCCATTCAGGCGTCCCTTCATCAGCCTTCTTCATTAGGGGTAGGACCTTGCCTTCAAATGCTTTTTTAGAAGCTTTACCTTGTTCCTTCGGTGCTCTCATCTTCTAAGCATCTCAGAGAATTTCTGTCACATTAAAAATGGGTCTGTACCTTGAACGACAGTCGTTCACCAGTTTGTTTCAGGAATGGACTGAAAGCCCCCAATGGAATAGTAAAAAGAATACCGCCTCTATAACGGGGGCATTCACCTCCCCTTCATTATGCAGACTAATAAGACTATGAGTTACCCACTGTGTGCCAGGGAGGAGGTGGCCAAGTTGAAACAAAGCCCCCAGCTCGGTAAGCTTACAGTTTTGTGAACCATGGCTGGACACAGCTGAAGGCCTGGCTTCCTCGGGAGCAAGAAATAGGATGGAGTGGTAGCTCTGGGTAAACCTGTGTCCTAGAGAAATACTGATAACGAGGAGACAGAAAACTGAGAGCTGCAGAGGTTCTTTCCATGCGGCCTGGCACCCCCCTGCCTTCAGCCCCATGGATGCACCTGGGACAGACAGGTCTCCCAATGGCTGCCTCCATTTATTTATTTATTTATTTATTTATTTTAATTGAGTTATGTTAGTCACCATACAGCACGTCATTAGTTTTTGACGTAGTGTTCCATGATTCATTGTTTACGTACAACACCCTGTGCTCCATGCAATCCGTGCCCTCCTTAATATCCATCACCGGGCTCACCCATCCCCACACTCCCCTCCCTTCTGAAACCCTCAGTTTGTTTCCCAGAGCCCATATTCTCTCATGGTTCTTCTCCCCCATCTGATTCCACCCCTTCATTTTCCCCTTCCTTCTCCTATGTCCTCCATTCTCTTCCTTATGTTCCACAAATAAGTGAAACCATGGCGATTCAGTAATGTGGCAGGATAAAAATCAATGCACAGAAATCAATTGCTTTTTTATACACTAGCAATGAAACTGTAGGAAGAGAAATTAGAGAATCGATCCCATTTGTAAGAGCACCAAAAACCATAAGATATCTTGGAATAAACCTAATCAAAGAGGGAAAGGATCTATACTTTAGGAACTGCCTCCATTTAAAATAAAGAGACTACTTCAAATATCGTACATCCAAGAATCCCCAACTAATTTCAATGTGTGTAAAATTCTCTGATGTCCTTAGGAAGAGATTATATATAGCCATAGTTTTAATGAAAAAAACCGAGCTACTATGTATGTAGTGTTTTGGCTCTGAATAATAAAAAGAAGATTATCTGTTTGTTTAGGAATCAATTCAACCAAAACCAACATGGAAATAGAAGTAATTTTAAATGTTCAAGACATAGAAAGTACATACTCCAGTTCAAAGATTATGTTCTTTTATCCTCTTGATTTTCCATTTCATAGGGTAAAATCGAACAAAAGGACAACTACAGTATGGAACGGTTATCAAGCACGATCTGACCCAAGCAAACTTCCCAGTCCTGCTTAAATACCATCCTGCCAGGCCACACACCTGGATGGTTTTGACTCAGCAGATCAGAAGCCTGTTGGGTGAATTCATAAACCAGTTGGTCCAGCGAGTTACTCTTAGATGCTGTAAGACGGGACTTAACTTCTTTTCTTTTTTTTCTTTTTCCTTTTCCTACAGGGGGATGCTAAGAATGACAGCACGTCCAAGGCAATTCATAGCATATTTAAGAATGCAATACAGCTGCTGCAGGAAAAAGGATTTGTTTTCCAGAAAGATGATGGTTTTGATAAGCTATACTATGTAAGAGACCTGCAACTTTATTGTTTTCCTTCATAGATTTTTTTTTTGACATTTTTTTTTAAAGATTTTATTTATTTATTTGACAGAAAGATCACAAGTAGGCAGAGAGGCAGGCAGAGAGAGAGAGGGGGAAGCAGGCTCCTCGCTGAGCAGAGAGCCCGATGCAGGGCTTGATCCCAGGACCCTGAGACCATGACCTGAGCCGAAGGCAGAGGCTTAACCCACTGAGCCACCCAATGGGCACCCCGTTTTCCTTCATAGCTTTGATCACGACTATATTCATTCATTAGGAATACCTGTTTACTGTTTTTAAAAATCATTAAGGAGGTTCATAAAATAAGGAGTGAAAGTCAGCCCTTCTCTTTCCCCAAGGTGCCATTTCTTTTTAAAGATGTTATTTATGTATTTTAGAGAGCACAAGGGGGGACAGGGGGAGGGAGAAAGAATCTGAAGGAGACTTCGCATTGGGCACAGAGCCCAACGTGGTGCTCGATCCCATGCCCGGGAGATCACCACCTGAGCCAAAACCAAAAGTTTAACCCCCTGAGCCACCCAGGGGCCTCCCCCTGCTCCCCACCAGCTACCATTTTTAACAGCATGTCCTTCTAGACACTTACCTGTACATTTACAAAATGTACACATATAGATGCTGATGTGGCTTTTTTGAGAAAAATGTGCTTATCCTGCAAATTGGGACTTCTTGACCTTAATACTGGGCCAGATGGTGCCTGGCTGTGAGTGGCTTTCCTTTGCGTTGTAGGATGTCTTACAGCATCCCTGGCCTTCATTCACTAAACAGCAGTAGCAGCCCCCCGCTTGTGACAACCAAAAATTGTCTCAGGACATCGCCAAGTATCCCCTGAGACAGTTGAGAACCACTGCTCTCAGTAATGCCTGGAAGTTTTGGGGGGTGGGTTACCAGAATAGTACATCCCTGGCGTCCTTCCATGTCAGTACTTACTAATCTTCCTCAGTCCGTTCGACGTCACATGGCACTCTTTCTTATGGGTTCTTGCCCCACACTTGTAACCACTTCTTTCTGGTGGACATCGATGCTGATTCTGGGTTTTGCTCACACAGATAGTGTTGCTGTGGCGATCTTTGTGAATTCATGTAAGCGTTTCTGTAAGACTGGCTCTTAAAAGAGGAATTGCCAGAGCAGAGGGCATGTACCTTTAATCATCTGGTCAGCACAGTCTGACTGACCTCCCAGAAGGCCATACTCATGGACATTCCCACCAGGGGTACAAGTGCTTGCTTGCTTCATACTTCCGGAGTCGAAGGTTCACCTCTTGCTACCTACTTTTGATTATCAGAGGAGCCATGCTTTCAGTGAAAGTGGGCTTCCTCCTGACCACTGATGTTAGCAGTGGAGATGTGGCTTCAGTCACGAGTGATTCTCCTAGAGGCAGATAAAAATTCTGAGGAAACTGAGAAGTCTCACTATTTACAGACATGATTCTTGAGGGGAAGCGTTCCTTAATAGGACATTTTCTTAATGTTGATTTACTATAGTGAGTCCCCATTTTAGAGAGTTGTTTTTTTTTTTAATTAAGATATGTTTTAAATACTATTTGAGTAACTTTTAAGTTTGGGGTTTTTAAATTTTTATTTTTAAGTAATCTCTACACCCAAGGGACGCCTGGGTAGCTTAGTCAGTTAAGCGTCTGCCTTCAGCTCAGGTCATGATTCCAGGGTCCTGGGACCAAGTCGTGAGCAAGTCGTCAGGCTCCTTGCTCAGCGATAGCCTGCTTCTCCCTCTGTCTGCCTCTCCCCTCTGCTTGTGTGCGCTCTCTCTCTCTGACGAATGAGTAAATAAAATATTTTTTTAAGATTTTATTTATTTATTTGACAGAGATCACAAGTAGGCAGAGAGGCAGGCAGAGAGAGAGGAAGGGAAGTAGGCTCCCTGCTGAGCAGAGAGCCCCCTGACTCGGGACTCAATCCTAGGACCCTGAGACCATGACCTGAGCCGAAGGCAGAGGCTTCAACCCATTGAGCCACCCAGGCGCCCCAATAAAATATTTTTTAAAAAGAAACTCTTGCACCCATTATGGAGCTTGAACTCACAACCCTGAGATCAAGAGTCACATGCTTCACCAGCTGAACCAGCCGAGCTCTCCAGTTTTGTGTTGGGGTTTTTGTTTTATTTTTTAAGTACTACACCCAGGGTGGGGCTTGAACTCACTACCCTGAGATCAAAGGTGCATTCTCTACTCACGGAGCAAGCCAGGCACCCCAGGTAACTTTTGAAAAGGGTATTCTGATCTGTGTACAGGTGAGTGCAGACCACCTCCTCCTATGTGGAAAGGCCTGGTGAGGTTGGAGAAGCCCGTGCTGGGCAGCTCCCCTTCACGTGCCTCCCCCACCCCTCCCATTCCCCCTGGGAGGCTCCGGGTTGGCCCCCTGTGTCCATGGAGTAGAGAGCGGCTCTTCCTGGGCAGCAGGCCAGGGCTGAGGTGTGGCAGGGTTAGGCACTTCCTCCTGTGAATCAGTGTGAGCTGGAAAGGGGTGATGGAGCAATAATAGCTCTTTTCCTCTGCAGAACCATCCCCTCCCCCTTCTCTCCTCCCTTTCCACGTCCTGCCTGGGCTGTAGGTTTCTGTTTTCCGGAGGGCCTTGCCCTGGGGAAGTAGTTATCGCAGTGCTGTGGATACTTCTGTTTTGGTAGCACTTTCCTGCTTTCCGCAGCTCTCACCACCACACCCCCCCCCCCCCCCCCCCCCCCCCCCCCCCCCCCCC